CTTTGGGCAGAAATGTTTATTAGTTTTTGTTTGTTTACTATGACCTCAAGTGTGAAGGCATAGCTCACTGTTAGGGGGTAACGTTGGACAGAAATGTTTCTTACAGTTTTTGTAAGTGGTAACAAAATTTGTGGATAACTATGTACCCCAAATGTAGGGACATAGCTGTCCACTTAGGAGTGGTAATTGAACACGATATGTTTCAGGCTATACTGTGTGTTGATAATAAACTATTTAGTTGCAGGAGCTCTTATTAAGCCTGTACGTATCCGAATGTAACCTGAATGGGAATATGGTAAAGGTATTTATTTGCATATCAATCAATAGGTTGTGCTTATAAACCTGTTTTCCCCTCTGGTCTCTCAGTCACTGACGAAAGCTAGTGGATACTAGCTGAAACGTCTGACGTTTTCAAAGTCATATCCAGTTGCTTGAGTAACTGCTTTTTGGCGTATCGTATTACCTGGATGTCTAACATTCATCGACGTAAAGGTATTAAAGTTCAACTCCTGAGGTACGCATCTGTCAGGGGTCATTTCTGTACGAATCCCGGGCAAATCCGAGCGTATTATGTGTGGAATATATACTATAAGAATCCCGTTTTTCGGATTTGTACGGAATAGGCTCCGGATTGCAGTAACCGATGTTTCGGATTTTCTGGCGGATTCCATTCTGATCCGTCAGTATCTGCGAAAAATACGGACAAATCCCGGTACGCATCTGCTAGGATCCGAGGCCATTTCTTGCAGTGTAAGTTCACAGAAAATCACATAAAATAACATTTCTGAAGCGCGACACCTGTATGTGAAACAATGTTATTATTTTGCGTCACATTTTTTTCACATTTGCAGTGAACAGTCAAGAAAAATCACATACCGCAGGATTTGACGGGGCAGTACTGCCAGCGGACGCTAGGGTCCAAGGTGTAGCACCACGGTCTCTTCTCACTGTCAGGGTTACGGCAGTAGTTCTCAGACAGGCCGCCAATGCTGAGGTCCTAAACCAACGAGGGATATTTTTGTTACAGTAATATCTTCTTCAAATGATTGGCTTTATCCTTAACAAAAATCCATATGACTGTTTTTACCTGTTGGACAAAATTGGTGTCCTGGCCTATCATGGCATTACAGATGTTAGAATCATTGGGCTTTGGAGACAGAGCATAAAGTGGAGCTACAGAATTCATTAAAATGCAATCAGAGATGGCAGACTTCACCTCCTTATATGCCGCTTTGCAACCTTTTTTTCGACCACAGACAAAAGAAATAGCAACACAGAAGTTGGCAAGAGTTTGGTAAAATGATGTGTATGATGTGTATTATAATTTCGAAAACACTGACAGGCAGAGAGACAAAGATACAGACAGATAGACGGACAAACAATAATTCACTCCCTTAGGGTGAAGAACCCGTACCAGGAAATGGTGACTGTGCGGAGTTTGGTCCTCCCAGCGCTGGCACACCAGACCGACGTCTGTAATGTTCACCTGTCCTCGGTAGGTGGCGCCATTTCCCACGTAACAGTCTGAAACGGTACAATTAATTATCTGCATGAAACGCATGTTCTTGGACTAGTACTACAAACCAGAATAAAAATACTTTAATTTACTTTAAAGTAATTAATTATAATTACTAATTACTTTATTTCTGAACAACCAACCTCTGCATGTTGGTGGGTTTCCAGTCCAAGTCCCGTCAGACCGACATGTGAGTAGAGAAGCACCAACCAACGTGTATCCTTCTTCACAGAAGAACCTCAGAACCTGGACGGAGCCATTGTAACCACCATTTGCTGGGGGGCGTATCACGGGACATACTGCAAGTGTATAGATAGAGAAACAATAATGGCATCCTGATATTAAACGTTTTACATGAGCAGACGTTAAGGAGGCCATCTTTCACCTTCATCAGGGCTATAATGACTGTGCTATTGTTTTCAGCCTGGGACTGTATTGTTACAGAAACATCCAGCTCCAGTGTACAGTGAACCATGTGCCCTGGTGAGATGGTCACCGAAACGTTGGCTCACGTAAAACGAATGGTTGTGAATAAAAGATATTCAATATCCTTTCATTACC